GAGACCTCTACTTTAAGGTATGGGGAATTCTGGGAGTTGAAGTCCACCCATCTTAAAGCCATCAAGGTTGAGAAACACAACTTGGCCGCCAGACACAGCCGCCTGGCTTTTCCTGTCCGCTGGGACTCAAAACCCACGATGCACCACCCCTCTATTCAAGGAATGCCCTCTTTGCAGGGCAGAGCAAAGCTTCCACCGCCCAGCCTCACCCTCTTTCTCTCCCGCAGATCCTCCTCGGTCTCCGTCCCTGGCCTTGTTCCAGGAGACCCAGAGGGGCCAGCTAGCCATCGTCCATTGCACGGTGGACAGCAACCCCCAGTCCACGCTGAACCTTTACCGGGAGCAGCAACTCCTGGCTACCACCAGTTCCCACTCGGCGCCCAACCAACGGATCGGCATCGTGGCCACACGCAACTCCTTGAAGCTGGAGATCCAGAAGATCACACCGGAAGATGAGGGAGAGTATCAATGCGTGGCCACCAACAAGTACGGGAATGCCACCACCTCCAGCTTCTTCAGGAGCCAAAGTAAGTGTGTGTGGGTTGTGTGTGTGTGTTGCAGTGCGTACAAAGCCTCCTTAGAAAGGCCAGAGTTTCTGGGAAGGAATCTAGAACACCTGCGGGACGGAACCTATAACATTCTTCTTTATAAAATTATACGTTCTGATAAACACATGTACATGCACTTATAGTCTTTGGAGAAAGGGCAGAGAAGAGCAAGTAAGAGGCTCAAAGGCAGAGGTGGTATTCAGCCAGTCCTGACCAGTCCTGGAGAACTAGTAGCGGCCATTTTGAGTAGTTGGGAGAACCGGCCAATCCCACCTCTGACTGCCCCCGCCAACCCCCATCTCTTCTCTGCCTCCCATTGAGTCCCAGCGGATCGGCTGGGTCTCCTTTGGTTGCCCTGCACAGGAGAACGGAGCTGGAAAGCCGGTTAGTGGGGTGGGGAGGGAAGGGGGATTTTGCAGTCACCTTCCCCCAGGAGTGGGGAGCGAACGGAGATGGTACAGTATCCTTCCCCTGCCATGCCCACCATGCAATGCCACCCCCCCACACACCAGGCCACGCCCACAGAACTGGTAGTAAAGAAAAGAAATTGAATCCCCCCACTGATCAAAGGCCCGGAGGCTAAAACATAGAACAATTGCAGGAATCGGGTAGGGCCAGTCTAGAGAAAAGTAGGACTTGCGGGGACATGATAGCAGCATTCCAGTATTAGGGGGGCTGCCCCAAAGAGGAGAGGGGTCGAGTTATTCTCCAAAACACCAGAGGGCAGGACAAGAAGCACTGGATGGAGACTAATCCAGGAGAGAAGCAACCTAGAATTAGGGGGAAACTTCCTAACCGTGAGGACAATTAACCAGTGGAACTGTTTGCCACCAGAAGTTGTGGCTGCTCCATCACTGGAGGTTTTTAAGAAGAAACTGGACAGCCGTTTGTCTGAAATGGTATAGGTTCTCCTGCTTGAGCAGGGGGCTGGACTAGAAGACCTCCAAGGCCCCTTCCAACTCATTCATGCTATTCCATCTTGCTTAGAAACATAAATGTTGGGTTCAGTTGGGGTTATAAGTCAAGGAGGACCACCGATGGATTAAAATGATAAATTGAAAAAAAAATAAGAATAATAGTCTCAGAATCTGCCAAAGATTAGCCACTTCCGTCCCTCGCTTTTCAGACTTTTAAGAGCCCAACTCAACCAAGTAGAGTTACAGCTTCTTGTGAAGTTGCTTTCTTGAGCCGACCCACCAGGAAGGACCGAGAGTCACGGTCTTCTCCTTCTCCTACTTACAGCGGCCAGGGTGGTGGCCAGCCCCTCCAACAAGCTGGTTGAAGGCCACCGAGTCACCCTGACCTGCGTCACCACCGTGGGGAGCGAAGAAGACCCCACCACGTACACTTGGTATAAGAATGCCAAGTGGCTAGAGCAAGGCCAGAAGGACAGCCTGGTCCTCTCAGCAGTGGCCAGAGAAGATGCTGGGACCTTCCACTGTGTGGCCGAGAACAAGAAAGGAAGCCACATCTCACCCCCCATCACTCTGCACGTGCTCTGTAAGTAGACCTCCAAGGGGATGGATGCATGGATGGATGGATGGATGGATGGATGAGATAGATAGATAGATAGATAGATGATAGATAGATAGATAGATAGATAGATAGATAGATAGATAGATAGATAGATAGAT